ATTGCCAAGGGATTATCTAGTTATAGGTATAAAGGAGAGAGAATGCAATGGACAATACCAGTCACTCGAAACTATATGGACTAGAGAATTGACCCGCTGAGGTTAAAAAGTCTATAAAGAGCATGATCAATGCAAGGCTTTCCCAACTCTTCCCTCTCCTTTTCTCATTCCTCCAGCTAATTCTCTCTTTCCTCCATCTCACTTTCCACCAGCTTGCCCAACTATTTATTTGATTATTTCTCCTAATTTTATATCCTAATTTTATAAATACTCCCACCATATAATCTCTCTACTACCCAGCTATTGAATAATCGAAGGAAATCAAAACCCCAATTCAAAGAAACAAACAATTCAAAAACCCAATTGATTTAATGGTTTTACTTAATTACCCAACTCTCGCTTGCTAATTTATCATCTTCCATTTGCAAACGATGCTAACAAATTCAACAACTGACGTTCATTCACATTTAAATAATGTTAACTGAATCGGCAAGAAAAGGATTGCTCCACATACTGCTCTCAAGTCTCAAACTACAATATCTGTGATAAGCACAGTGTTTTTTTAAAAGGTCACGCCAAGTCTCTAACAACCCTAAACTTAAAAACCCTTTGGTTTCCTACGGTCACGTCAAACGAAACTGAATTTGATCACTTCATCAATAGTTCGGTTCACAGCTAGCTATTAATCCATTCTTACTACTCTAATTTTCTACCATATTCTACCCTAGAGAATCAAATTCCATTAACAAAAAACAATGCATCCCTTTTCCATGTAAACATACCACAAAATCAATACAGAATGCCAAATTCTCAGAAAAAAAAAAAAAAATCATCTTTATGATCAATAATAGAAAACCGATTACATAGTTATGTCCTAACATTAATGAATATAAACAACAGCCCGCAATTAGCAAACAAATTTGATTCAATCATCAAATTATGCTAAAAAAATCACATAAATTCTTCTTGCTTTAGAATACCAACGTAACGCACAAGTAGCAAATTTCTAGCAACAAAATCGCACATTATAATCTTTAATAAATTCAGTAATTATAACCAATTGCTCAATAATCCACCTTAGAAGAACCCTAAATTGACTATAAATAACAATTAAATTAACGAAAAACCCTAAATAGTGAAATTGATATTCAATGATTCAAAAATAAAATAAAAAAACTTACCTCAGAATCTGCTTCAACGGAGGAGAGAAAGCTGAGAACACGTTTCAATGGAGGAGATGGTAAAAAGGAGGTTTGCGTAAAATTGATAAGCTCGAAAAGGGCAAAATATTGTATTGACGAGGAGAAGATTATTTTTTGAAGGAAACAAAAGAGGAAGATTACAAGATCAATCAAACTAACACGCATACAATGTAAACCATTAGATTTAGAAAATATCAACCGTCATGGTTTTTTTTTTTTTTAATGTCACTTTAAATTTTTTTTATCTCTCTATTTTTTTTATCTCTCTATCAAAAAAAAAAAAAAAACTTTTGAAGCATTTTATCACATTTATTAATTCAATTATTTTTATTTTTATATAAGGCCCCTATTGCAAAAAAATTTTACTTTTTTATTTTTAAAAATATTGTATACTTTCATCATTTTTAAAAAAAATGCATCACTTTATAAATTGCGGAATTCTAAGCAATTTTTAAAGATGAGATGGATGGAGAATAAAAAAAAAACTAAATAAAATTCAACTTTAGAAAAGTGATGCAATTAAAAAACGAAGGAATTACATTAAGGGTTTGTTCTGTTACGTTGAAATTCAGTTCAGTTCAGCTCAGCTCCTAATTTCCTTCTCTTATAAAATATTCATTTCAATTTAGTTCAGCTCAGCTCAGTTGAGTTGAGTTCAGTCAATGAGAACAGGCCCTAAGTTACACCTTTTCTATCTTTGGTTGCAATATCGTGGGCCTTCTTAACTGTCGTAGGGACTTAATAGCAAATACAACTATCTCAATTTGATGTTGCTTCACGAATAAGTTTCAATTGTCATCTGATATATGAATCGAAATCGTTTGTCTTCAACACAATTAGTTTTTATAATCGGGATTCATTCGTTTCTAGGTGCTTCTCACAACTATCTAAATTTAATGTTGCTTTACATATAGGTTCTACTAATCTTCTGATATTTGAGTCGAAACCTTCCGGACAATTGAGCACAATGGCTGCTTCAGCCTGATTAGTTTTGATGCTTATGATTCATTTGTTTGTGAATTGTGGGTGCTTCTTCAATGGCCTTCCTTTTATCGATATGAACAACAAATTTTTAATGTGAGGTTAATTAACGCCATAGACAAATAATCAAGATAATTATGGGCGATAATCACCAACATCCGACAAAAATGCAATATCATTTTTGCAATCGAAGGTAAAAGTTTTCTTAACTAAAGATAATACGAGTAAGTTTTTTATTCCGAATATAATTAATTTGGCCGATTTATGATTGAGGAGAAAATACAAGTTTATCTTCATGATAAACAATTGATGTTTATCTAAGGTTATGTTGGTCTTTGCACCTTATAGGTTGAGGGTATTAATGTAATTTCCAGATAACCCAAACCAAATTCGTTAACGTCGTTCTTCATCTCCTCCATTAACACAACCATTCTCTCTCCTCCATCACACAAATTTGATGAACTTCAATGGAGAATTGGCTAGCTACAATGGAAGATTGGAAGTAGATGACATACCATACCCTGTAAGGTTAACAATGCCCAATATTTCACCATGTTTTCACACGGTTTTCGTTTCGTCGCCGAAATTAGTGGTGGTCGACCTACTCGTTATTGTTAGTGCTGGTGTTAGCAAATTTGAAGGTGGTGCACGGTCGATCTGTTCGCGTAGTTGTTGGTGGTGTTGTTTGCGATAGAAGGAAGAAGAAAATGAAGCTGGTTAGAGGAGGAAGAAAGTGGACTAACGTCGTTAATATTGAGCCACACCCCATTGATATCCTATATCAACCAAATTTTGTTGATATAATGGCAATCTTGTAATATTTGTGAACTTTTTCTGAATTCCACAACTTCACTAGTGGAATGCTGATGTGGACTTCGTTTGTCCAAATTTTTAATTAAAACTTGTAACGGTACTTATATTGACGGAAAAGTTAACGCCATCTATTCTAATCTATTGAGTTCCCAGATGGATGAGGAGAGAGAATAACAGGTTGCTGCTCGTCATAAGAGGTAAATATGGTTGTCGGCGGTGGATAATCCTGTACCATCGTCGCTCAAACACTCAAATCAAAATACAACTTCTATTTTCGTCTCAAATCGCAACAGTATTTCACTTTAAACATGGAGTGCAGGAGAGAGATTATGCAAAATTTCGACATGGAAGTGTAGATCCTTAGACCCGAAATATCAAGGTAAGAAATTATAGCTGAATAAATATCAAAATTTACAAGTAGGTGTTGAGTTACACTTGGGCAATAAAAATCTCCGGTAGTAGTTGGATTACTAAATTAGAAAACCATTCTAGTAGTATTAATTCCATAATGTTACTGATAACCCACATAAATTATGTTCAAATCAATCTGATATCCTCATTTTAATTCGAATGGATAATTCATCATATTACCAAAACAATATGAATTAAGATTGTTGTTAACTACACCACCAACATTCAAATAGGAGTATGATGTTCGATTATAAATTGATTGAGAAGTTACCTGGAACCAGAATGCTCCGCGGGTAAGTCGACTGCAACCCTTATGAGTTATGAATTCATGTCTTCTTCAACCAATTCGTGCCAATCTTCAGCAATTCGTACCGTTATTCAGCCTTCATTCCAATCTTCAATTTTTTTTTTGCTAATTAGGAAATCATTTTATCAAAACCGATAATGTTATCCCGTACGAATAATCCCTCCAGCAATTTGGGATTCGATTCCTCGAAACCGACAATGTTCAGCGTACGATGAACCCTCCTTTTTTATCATCAAAAATCCGACATTTCCGTCTACGCATTAGTGACCATTGTTGCAGTAGAGAGTAGAGAGAGAATACTCCACTCATTAGTGACCATCGTATCGAGGAGAGAAAAACAAACGTTAACAACGGTTGACGTCCACCACAAACCAAAACGGAGGACATATAACGGGATATCATTTATATTCCAATCTTGTCCTTACTTTAATGACTGATTAGATGAAAAAGCCCTTATATCAACGCGCTTTGTTGATATAGGATATCAATATGTATTTGCTCGTTAATATTGCATCTTCCATCACACGTGGCCTCATTGTAAGTACATGATGTGTCACATATTATTATTGTCCAAATTCACCAAATCTATACTTAGTATTTAAAAACACAAACCACAAATCTATACTAAGCCACGTGTTACCATAATCACTCATATGCCACATGTCACCTCTCTTAATCCTTTCTTTCTAAATTCCCATTTTAATATAAAAACAAAATATATAAATAATGTTTGAGCCTTTAATCTTTATGCATTCTAAAACAGTAAAACTTACAAAATTTAAGTAAGAAAATTAAGTGTTTCATATTCAATATAATAAATTAAAGTAAAACTAATTAGTGTTCATTATATTAACAATAAAATAGTTTTTTCATCTCCTAAACTTAAATATAACTTAAACCAATGTGTCATTTCATTCCCTACTATATCTATGTATATATACCTAACTAAATTCCACAACAACACCGACACTTTTCAAGAAAAATAACCTAACTAACAACCCGTGCATCGAACGGGTCAAAAGGCTAGTTACCACTACATAAACAAAAGATATTTATTTCCAAGATAAATGAGGGCTTCCCCATTAAGGATGGCAATTTTATATGGATATCCATTAACCTGCTCCACCCGCTTAAATTAAATGGATGAAAATCCGACTTAAATGGATGAAAGGCGGATGGTGGATGAAACGGGTGACGGATCGGATCGGATTCGGGTGGAGCTTTAAGTCATCCGTCACCCGATCCATCACCCGCTTATCATCCACCCATTTATTTTTATATAAAAAAAATACAAAACTTTTTTTAAAAAACCCTAATCTAATGTACATACTACATACAGCTAGCCGCACATATCCATTCTCAACTCTCAAGTCCTCCTAACAGTCTCTCTCCTTCTTTAGTTCCTCACACTCTCTACTCACCACCAAATATTCCATTTTTACCGGCAACTTCTCACCAGAACGTCTCACACTCCTCTTGGGCGAGGCGGCGACTCCTCTTACGCGATTAAGTTCATTAATTTCATGAATTTTTGAAGGGAAAATGGCATCACAGATCACTTATTTAACTTAATCATATCAATAGTTCATGTATTTCATAGTTGGTGGTACTAGTAATTGATCTTGTAATGCTAAATGCTAGTGCTATATTTTTTTTTAATTTTTGCAATGCCGATTTAGATGGCACAGTAGAAATTACTTAGCATCATTTTTTTTTTTTTTTTTAATTTCATAACACAAGTTTAATCTTCACCCGTTTATCATCCGATCCACCCGTTTCACCCGCGGATGATGGGTGGATCGGATGTGGATGATGGGGTTAGCGGGTGGTGGGTGGATCGGGTGGAGTGGATGGAGGTAGCGGACGGATGCGGGTGAAGCTCCACCCGATCCGAATCCGACCCGTTGCCATCCCTATTCCCCATGATTGAATACCCAAAAACTTTTTTTTTTTTTTAAAAAAAAGAAAAATAAAGGTGTGTGTTTACTTCTCTCTATTACTCCCCCAGGAAAACTCTCCATATCTATGTTTCCCATTGAAGCGCACTCCACCTTCGCCATTGAGGCGCCTTCTGATATTGCAATCCTTCATTGAAGCAGCTTCCGAGGTAAGTTGTTTCTTTTTGTAATCATCGAATATCAATTTCACAATCTAGGGTTAATCGTTGCTCTAATTTAATTTAATTATCAGTATATTAAATTAGGGTTTGAATATTTGAATTATTGGTTATGATTACTAACTAGCGATTATGTTGTTAGAGATGAAAATTTTGAACCTAATTTGATTCTTGATAATTGAATCAAATTCAAACATGCCTTTTCTTCCTAAAATTATGTGATGTAATAATTGAATTAAATTTTTAACCCTTTGATGTTGGATTGAACTATGAAATTGGTCCTCTTCTACTTCCTGATTGAGTGCTTATCTTATTAATTAGGGTTAAATTGACAATATTGTTGAGTTTTTGCTTCTCTTTTGGTTGTTAGGATACCCGGGAAGTCAATCCTGGGAACTCTGGTGAAGCATGAGTAATTCCTTGAGTTTCGAACCGTTTAACAGGTGATTTATCATATCTTTATGTAGAGAAGTTTTTCTAATTAGATGTTTTTTGAATGGTATAGTTTGCTTACTTAATCTTTGTACAGGTTGGTGAAGCTTACGGCCCGAGCATTTTATGATGACATCTCAACAAAAGGCGATAATCAACCCAAGACGAGCCGTAGTGATAATCGGGGGACTGCGGTGGTTATTCTTGATGCACTCACTAGGTATATTATATGTGCTTTCGAATAATTGTTATTAACTTTCTTATATTTCTTATTTGGGAAAACTTTGTTGCATAATTGTTTGTGTGAGTTCATAGATTTGTTGAGAGAGTTGCATTTGTGATCAATTCTAAATCCTAGCTAAAATGTGTTTACCTTGGCCAACTATGAATGTACACACGCAACATCAATTCTTTAGAATATAGTCATTATAGAGGAAGGAAACACACAGATGAATGCTTACTACATATTGGATGGATAATTTGTTTTTCTGCTCCCTTTTTTTCAATTGCCATTGTTACTGTCTCTCAAATGATTGATCTCTGGTTTTAATGTACGTTGCGCAATTCTAGGCGTCAGTGGGTGAGAGAGGAAGATCTTGCCAAAGATTTAAAACTTCATTTGAAGCAACTTCGTCGAACATTGCGGTTCTTCGAGGAAGAAAAGCTGGTTATGCGTGATCATAGAAAAGAGGTTACATTTGCTTCTATTTAACATACAAAACTATGTTATTGGCCTTTTTGAACCATTTGCCTGTGGCCTTGTTCAAATATATATTTCATATAAATTGCTGATCTCATATTCTTGTCAGAGGCCTGTAGCTTATTGACTGTTGCCATTTACGTGTGTAACTGTACCTATATCTCCTATATGGAATTTTGTGCCAATTAAGTAATTTCTTTGGTATCATAAATTCTTATTCTTGGGCAACTCTCCTACTCCCTTTTCTACCTCTTCCGCCTTCTCTATCTAAATTAGGTTGAAAAGATTCAGAACATGAGTGTTTTCTTCGCTCTATTAGAAATTATATCTTTAATACGGTGGTTGGTTGTTTTTTTTTATTTTTAATTTTGCTTCATCATTTGGTTGGATTTGGAGGGGTGTGGGGGTGGGGTGAGGTGAATTATTGTGTAAGGATGTAGAATCCCATTCCCCTCCTGTCAACAAGTCTTTAGAAAATTAAATTTCTTTAAAGAAATTGGTGACTTTTGCTGTTGGTCTTTTACTCTTTTATCCGGGAAATTCCGTGTTCAGTGTTAACTGTCCTGCCCCATTTTCTGGTAAGTAAATACATTGTCAAGCATTATTATTTTAAATCATTCGTCATGAATCATGGGAAACATCCAAATTCGATGATTTTGGAGATGGGATTTTATGACTGTAAATTCAATTAGGAAGGAACTACTTGAGAGAGAACACTTTACACAGAAGCAGAATGCATTTGGAGGATGATGGTGATGGTGGGTTTAGGGGGGCAGTGTTTTTTCACATGCTTGTGTATTGTCAATACGGGCTTACAATTAACTAGTGCTAACTTGATACAGTAGGGTTACCTGGTGGTTCTTGGTACTGATTTCATCTTTATATATATATATATGAGACTTTTCCCTCATCTTAGGATTCTCTCATGATTGTAATACATATTTCTTTTAGTTATACTGATGTACCTAAAGGGCTGATAAGTTTAGGCTGTAAAACAAACTTCTTGTTGCCTGATACTATATTTTGTATTTTTAGGTTGCAATTCCCATTTAGAACAATACTTGATGGTGTGTAGAAGGAAGTTGTTCTGAGATACCGTGACATAGTTATTTTTAAGCAGATTGAAAATAAACTTCATTCTCTTAGTGGATCCTGTGGTTGTAAAGTGCTGTTATGTTGGTTTTCTTTATTTTTTTTTCTTCTTGTTGCTTCCAGATTTCCAATATATACAGCAAATCTTGCATTTAGAAGCTTTGGCTTTCGGAAAACATGTCTGTTTTTCTCATGTGCACTTAATAACCTGCAGACAGCAAAAGCGGTAAAATTGCATAATGCAGCACTTTCAGCCACAGTTAATCACCATCATGGAAGAGAGGGTGAAGACAAGATTAAGCTGCACACTCACTCATACTGTTGTTTAGATTATGCACAGGTTGGTTATCATTGATGTCCGTGATTCTCTTGTTATATATTAATGGATTTTTGTATATGTTCTTTCCTTAGCAATGAAGTTCTGTTGCTGTCATAGTAAGCTACATTTTGTATGCTGGTGGTGTTGTCTCATTATATGCCTCGAATTCATTGTTGTTACCACCTTGCCATGTTAATTTTTAGTTTCAAACTTAAGTTGCTTGTGAGTTGCCTATTATGTGTGGAGTGAAATTATTGATTTATATGAAAATGTTAGAGGATTTTTCAAAGGCTGAAAATCTGTAATTTCTTGCAGATTTATGATGTTGTGAGGTACAGAATGCATCGTATGAAGAAAAAATTGAAGGACGAATTGGATAGCAAGAACACAATCCAGGAATATATATGTCCCACCTGTAATAAAAGGTTGGAGTCACTGTTTTCTTTAGCTTAAAAACATTAATGTATTCCAGCATTCATGGAAACTAAAGATTCCTGATGTTGTATGGCTAGATATACGGCTCTTGATGCAGCAAGGCTTATTTCTGAAGATGGTGAAAGTTTTCTTTGTGAAAGTTGTCAAGGGGTACTTGTTGCAGAAAGTGACAAGTTAGCTGCTCAGGAAGTAGGAGATGCTGATGAAAATGTGAGGCGGCGCCGCCGTGAAAAGCTGAAAGAGATGCTTCAGAAAATGGAGGTTTGTGAGTTATTAAGCAGCTTTTAAGTGGCTTTTAGTGCCACATTTAGTTTATTTTGCTGGTCACTGTGTGTGAATATTATCTTTCATGTTCAATTGAACTGAATAAAGTATTGTTTAGAGTGATATCTTGAAATATTAAATGTATCAATTACATGTAGTGAAATGGTCACTTTTATGTTGTCAGGTTTTCTTTCTAGATTTTTGCATGTACAGCATCCTTATTTAGTGCCTTCCTTTTTGTAAACTTTTATGTTGATGTTTGAGAAGTCTGACTACCTATTCTGATATTGTTGCTCTTTTTATTACAGTAATTTCTCTTTTTATTGGTGGTAACGATTAGTATCTTTCCTGAGTTGCCCTAGGGATCTCTAGGATCATTGCTGTTTCTATTTACTTATGCTTTGCTATTTGCACTTTTTTTTTTCCTTATCTTTGTAAGAGCAGTTCTTCATTGTTATACATGTATATGCTTTATATAAGTAGTCCTGCAGTTACAATATTTCTATGTTTTCTTGAGGATAACATAAGGTAATCAAATTTCAGGAGCAACTCAAGCCGTTAGTTGAGCAACTCAATAGAGTCAAAGATCTAGCAGTTCCCGATTTTGGAACTCTACAGGCCTGGGAAGTAAGGGCTAGTGCTGCTGCTCGTGCAGCTGGTGGGGATAATCCCAATGATCCCTCTAGGTCATATCAAGGTGGAACACCAATGCCTTTTCTTGGTGACCCTAAGGTGAGGTACTTCTATCTTTAACAGTAACTGTGTTTGTTTGCGTGCATGTACAGCTCCTGTTTTTGGTGCTGCTAGTTGCCTACTTTTCTGTGGCAAGTGTTGTCAACAGCTACCAGTTACCAATCTTTTTTGGCCCTCCCTCAAACCTTTTTTTTGTTGGGGTTGGGGTACGGGGAATTGAGAGACTTGATTTATGAGGATGTCATTACATCTCACATGTCAGCTGTTAAAGAGGGGCTGTCATCATGCATCTCATTATGGTGGGTTGATGTTTAAGTTGACGTTGTGTTTCCAGATTCATGTTGCAATCAGTGGTGTGGAAGATAAGGAAGACTCTAAATCTGGTACTGGAAATGCACCCATGAAAGTTCTGCCTCCTTGGATGATCAGACAAGGTATGAAATTAACAAAGGAACAACGTGGTGAGGGGGAAGAGGAACCTAAGCCTGATGTCACTTCAGAGCCCTCTGATTTATCAGATGACAAAAAGTCAACTGTTGTCAAGGATGAAAAAACCATCCAGGTTTGTCTTTTATAGTTTACAATTTGATTAAAAGATTGTTAAGTGATACAAGCCTTGTGATAATTGCTTTACTTATTGGCTTGGCCGGAAACTTTTGTAGGATGAGTATTTTAAAGCATATTATGCCGCTATCTTGGAACGACAACGGGAACAAGATGCCAAGGGGCAGCAGGATGTATCTAATGGAGATGTTACAGGTCAAAGTACATCTTCAGATCGTCAAGTTGGCATGAAATCAAAACGTGAGGACGAAAGCGAAGATGAGGATGTGTGGGAAGAAGCTACTCCTTCAGGTAAATGTCTCTTTTTTATAGTCTCTAAATAGTTGCATTGAGCTCTGCTTACCTTGGTAGCTATGGTGTAGTATTGCATTCGTCGATTGATTAATGTTAATTGATTAGCAGGGAACACAGGAGAAAGCTTTACGGTCGACTTGAATGTTCAAGCTGAACCTCTACCAGAGGAAGAGGATAACGATGATGGTGATGTTGAATGGGAAGATGGTTGATTCTTGGATTCGTGAAACCCAATTGTTGGAGAATGGTGATTGTACGATGACGATGATGTTGAATGTGAAGATAGTTGATTCTTGAATTCGTGAAATCCAATTTGATATGGGAGTTTTGTTAGAGAATGGTGATTGTTATTGTAGTGAAAACTAGCTGCAAACACTCCTTGCACTGTTACAAGTCCCAAGTTCTTAACATCAAACAGTGCTTATTACGGAGTATTATTATTATTACTCCACCTATATTCTATATCCAAATGTTTGTGCCATGTATCATTACATTTTCTGTAAAATTGTAATTAAATTATGTCAGGCTACGTATTATAAAATTTCTACAAAATTCATATTTGAAAATTGGAAATAAAAAATCATGAATATAAATAAGCTTTCACATCACTGTTTTGAAGTATAAAAAGATCATCAAAATGTAGAATTAGATTTCATTTCTATTACACTCTCTTAAGATTTCAAATAGGAAGAACATAAAAAATGGAGGGATTAGATTTCATTTCTATTTTTAGATACATTTCTTTCTACTATGTATTACTTTCCTTTCTACTTAATAAACGCACTATATTTCTATCACGTCAAACGAGTTTTCTATTTCCTTTTTTTTTTCTCCCTTTCCTTTTTAAAATTTGTCTAAGACTTCCATCCACCCTATTGGACTCTCGGAGGGTATTATGCACCATGATAACATTTCGGTAATTTTTATTTTAGAGTGAAAAAAGTCAAAAAATTACAAAATTGAAAACTTATATCCACGCTTTTTGAGAAATTTTGAGGTTGGGTACGGTGTCGAAAAACCCTTGAGATTTTAGAGAATATATCTCGGGGTCATATAATGCCGTTTGGAACCATATATGATCATTATATGTTGTCATAAAATGTTCGTGGTAGGCTTGAGTTAATGAAATCGCTGCAAGTTGTAAATCGGTAAATTGGTCATTTAAAGGCAAATTGGATGGTTCCACCCACCCAATTGGACTCCCGCAGCGTATTAGTGACCATGGTAAGCATTTCGTCAATTTTTATTTTCGGACGAAAAAAAGTTCAAAAATTCCAAAATTGAAGTCCAATATCCACGCTTTTTGAGAAATTTTAGACGTTTCTGGGCCGGGTCGAAAAGGCTTGAAATTTTAGGGGATACTTCTCGGGGTCATATAATGCTGTTTGGAACCATATATGATCATTATTTGTTGTCATATATGTTCGTGGTAGGCTTGAGTTAATGAAATCGGTGCAAGTTGTACACCGGTAAATTGGTTGTTTAAAGGCAAATTGGATGGTTCCACCCACCCAATGGGACTCTCGGACGGTATTAGAAACCATGGAAAACATTTCGGCAATTTTTATTTCCTGGCGAAAAAAAATTCTAAAATTTCAAAAGTGAAGCCTAATATCCACGCTTTTTAGAAATTTTGGAGGTTTTTGGGCCCGGTGTCGAAAAGTCTTGAAATTTTAGGTGATACATCTCAGGGTCATATAGGTGTTTGGAACCATATATGATCATTATTTGTTGTCATAAAGGTTTGTGGTAGGCTTGAGTTAATGAAATCGGTGCAAGTTGTAAACCGGTAAATTGGTCGTTTAAAGGCAAATTGGATGGTTCCATCCACCCAATGGGACTCCTAGACGGTATTAGGGACCATGGTAAACATTTCGGCAATTTTTATTTTCGAGCGATAAAAAAGTCAAAAATTTCAAAATTAAAGGCTAATATCCACGCTTTTTGAGAAATTTTTGAGGATTCAGGGCTCGGTGTCGAAAAATATTGAAATTTTAGGGGATACATCTCAATTAGTGCCGTTTGGAACCATATATGATCATTATTTGTTGTTATAAATGTTCGTGGTAAGCTTGAGTTAATTAAATCGGTGCAAGTTATAAACCGGTAAATGGGTCGTTTAAAGGCAAATTGGATGGTGCCACCCACCCAATTGGATTATTAAAGGGTATTATGGACCATGGTAAACAATTCAGCAATTATTATTTCTGGACGAAAAAAGCCCGAAAATTCCAAAATTAAAGGCTAATATCCACGCTTATTGAGAAATTTTGGAGGTTTCAGGGCCCGGTATCGAAAAGTCTTGAGGTTTTAGAAAATAAATCTCGGGATCATATAATGTCGTTTGGAACCATATATGATCACTATTTGTTGTCATAAATGTTCGTGGTAGGCTGGAGTTAATGAAATCGGTGCAAGTTGTAAACCGGTAAATTGGTCGTTTAAAGGCTAATTAGATGGTTTCACCCACCCAATTGGACTACTGGAGGGTATTAGGGACCATGGTAAAAATTTCGGCAATTTTTATTTTCTGGCGAAAAAAAGTGAACGATTTCCAAAAGTTCACGCTTTTTTTAAGAATTTTATAGGTTTCGGGGCCTGGTATCGAAAAGTCTTAAGATTCCAGGGAATACATCTCGGGGTCATATAATGCCGTTGGGAAACATATATGATCATTATATGTTATCATAGATGTTAGTTGTAAGCTTAAGTTAGTGAAATCAGTGTAAGTTGTAAAGCGGTAAATTGGCCGTTTAAAGGGAAATTGGATGGTTCCACACTTCACTTCCACTTCCACAAAGAGTTTAGAATTTTAAAAGTGATGCATCTATATAAAAAAAAGGAAAAATAGAGGAATTAGTACAGTTGTATTTATGTTAATGATCTAATGACGTAATTATAGTCAAATCTAATTCGACAAAATTAAATAAAGAAATGGTTAAATAATAGTATATTCTACTCCGTACAAAACAATGAAGGAAAATAATACTACTCCATATTTACAAATTTGGTACAAATTTCACGTCAAAAAAATAAAAAATTGCTACAAATTCCATAATTTATTTATTTTAACTTTAATTGTTTTAACCAAGCATAAGAGAGCCTACAAATTCAGAGTTGGCCTAATTTGGGCCCAAGTTTATTAATCATATGGGGCCCAATTCAACATTTACAATATCATAAAGTCATAATTCGTGTAGTTTTCTGTCCAAAACATAAGAGCAAGTCTGGCCCATTGTTTGGTAGAAAGTCATGAGATCAGTGAGCTGTTCTACTGACATTTTTTCCATTATTTTCTTTGCCAAATTTTCTCTCTCCTCGTTCACCTTAATTTTCTCAAAATATGTAAACGCATTTCTTACGGTTGCTCCTACTTCTATCAACCTTGCTTCTTGCTGCTTACTCATCACTGTGTTAGACTGCATCACAAAAACAATGCACATAAGTTTTAAGCTTTCAAATGATAGTGTACTAATTCTTGTATTGAACACATTATTCATAAGATTAGTTTATGTTCCTTGACAAAACTTACAAAAGCCGTCAAATAATAGTACGTGTAGTTTATGTTACAACCTGGTCTCCGTTTCTTATTATTATGTGCAACAAATGAGTATTGTTTGTGAGATATACAATATTTCCTTATCGTAAATTATAGGTTACGAGTATTATTATATTTTTCACTACGGATTATATATAGCACATGCACATCGGTACTGAGTATGAACATAAAGTATGTGCATAGTGAAGTAATACCTCGAGAAAATTAGCCCCAGCATCAAGTTCGGATTCTTTAGATGGTTTGATACCATTTCCACTTGAATAAATATCTTTAGCAAGCGAGAAACTCCTAACAATAACTCTCCTCTTTTTCTCCAATGTGTGATCCAATTTAAGTAACTTAGGCACGTTCATTGAATTGTTACTAATCCTTTTTTGGTATGCAATTGCTGCCTTCACAAACTCCTATCAAATTTTAAAAACAACACAATTATTATTTCAATACACGACCAAAATAATCATAAATGCTAAAATTGATCATAAAAAAACATGTTACAATTTTATAACATAGTCTTACCTGATAAGCACAAGGACAACCAGGATAATCAAACTCATTAGAGTCAGATCGCCTCATACGTTCAGGATGAAATTGGAGTCCCATGATAAACTTTCCGTCCTCCGGCTCGTACGTGTTGGGGTCATAAAAGCCTTCGATCAACCCATCCGGCGAGTACGCCATGGGGACGAATCGTTGGGCCAATCGCTTGACCCCTTGATGGTGGTAGCTATTGACAAGAATCTCCAAATTCTCTTGTGACACCAAAGTTTCCTTAAACCACTTTTGTAATGGGGTACCTTCTAACACCTTAACTACGTGCCTATGATCATCGTAGTTGCTATAGTTGATATGGGACACTCTTTGCTCCTCGGGTACCTTTCTCGCTAACTCTTTCTCCACGTCTTGATAGAGCGTTCCACCACAAGCTACATTTAGTACCTGTTAATACGACGTAAATTTTTAGATAACAGAGAATTATAAACGTACAGACTTACTAATGCTAGTAATAGTTTGACTTTTATATATGTCAATGTACCTATTTTACTTTAAGTTTTTAATATTAGTCTGTTATTATTATTATTTTTTTAAGTTACACCATAACCTAGAATTAATTTTAAAATTTACACTAGGATGCGTGTATATATATACCTGAGATCCACGACAAATTCCTAGGTAAGGGATGTTGCGCTCAAGGCAAAGCCTGGCGAGCCTGAGCTCAATTGAGTCCTTTTCCTTGTCAATGGCGGTGTCACTAGCATGTAATCGTCGGATTTCCTCAATTTCCTCGGGTGAAAGTTCGCCGGAGTTAAAGTCGGATTCATAGAGAGAGGGATCAATGTCCTCGCCTTCACACAAGAGCACACCGTGAATAGGCTCAAAGCTCTCTAGTAGCATGTGAATGCCCGAGACCCGGGGCACTATTACTGGCACGGCCCCATACTTTACTATTAGGTCCAAATGGTATTCACCTAATCACACAAGCCCAAAATAAGACATTATTATAATTACAAGTTAAGAAACATACGCAAAAAAGCAGGACAGTGTAAAAATTAATAAATTCATCATTATTATGCTATGGTCATTTGGGTTTTTAGTGATAACACGAAAAAATTGTTAAGCTTCTGTGGAAAGGAGCTAATCCGTAAATACTTTAAATTAAATACCCGTCATCAAATAAAACACCATCTATATATAATTAATAATATTTTGGCTGTATTAATTTTTAGTGATATCTAATTAATTAAATTGACACTTAATATTCAGTGGATGAGGATTACTTATTAAGTTATTAATTATTTTTCTAGGATCACTTGTTACTCGTGTAAGAAGATGCTTTTTCTTGCACCAAAGCAAAGTTTGTTGGAAAATTGAAGATTGAAAAGGCCAGGGCAAAGAAGGTCCCCCAATAATATTGATTGAGTTGTTACTTGCTAATTAGTGTTATATACATATATTCGGATCTCTCTACAGTATATGCCACTCTAAATTACTAGTGCGAACTATCATTATTGTTTGAGTAACAAATTTCTTATTAAATTAGTTATTAGTACTAAGGTTATAACAATAGTTACATTAGTACTAGGGTAATTTTTTAAATTGTTGGTGAGCTGACGTACAACTTTATCAACAAGTGATTTTCAAATTCATATACTATACAACGATTTTTAAACTTATATACTATTTTTAGACAAGAGTCCACAAGACTACTCTGTATTTGAAATGAGTAATAATTTTCTTGAAAGTACGAATTACGTTTAGCTATTATTATACTTTCAAAAAATTATGGAGCAATAACATGCTAATCGATCTAGCTATATTCATATTTAAGTGAGGTTTATGTAAAAAAAAAATGGAGTTGCTGATGTGTACTAGTAGTGCCTAATTGGCAAGGTTTTTAGTGTAAGTTTCTGTTTTTTTAATTATTTAATTGGACATATATATAAATTTCTGTTCTCAAGGAAGTCAGTTGCTTTTTTGACTTTATATTTCTGTTTTTTCAGTTTTCCCCTATAACTTTCTCTGCATTTTCTATTTTCTACTAATAACTTGATGAAGATTATTTGTTAAAAAAAAAAAAAAAAAAAAAGGATTATATAGGCCTAAATAAACGAAAATACGATGGTATGATAATGTGTTTAATTGTATTCCGTAATACATATCTTAACAAAACATGCATTATAATGTGTTTAACAAGCCTAACTTGTAGCCTTAATTCTAGCTTGTACACTTGTGTATTATGCTGGCGGCAGATTAATGACAAATCCACGGACTTATTCCGAACAAAAGAAGTAATAAATGATTTACTCATTGTCCCATTCAAAAAAAAAAAAAATGATTTACTCATTGAAAATGCATTTTAAATTAGCTAGGATTATAATCCGAATGATATTACTCCATATTAATTCATCTAATAAAAATTAAACAGAATAATATATTTTTCGAAATTGATTATATCTCATATGGTAGCAAATCAACAATAATAAAACACGACTGCATGTATGTTTTTGTAACACATAACATTTGAAGAAAGGCAAAAAAACGATGATAAAGAGAGAGAGATATACCGACGAAATCGACAAATTTGTTCTTACGAACGGTGCGTCGAGAAACAATGAGAACTCGTGGGAGGATAGCCGAGAGATTAGCAGCAGCAGCAGCAGCCATTTATATATTATAGATTAAACGACGACGACAACAACGACGACTAGGAGATTAAATTGGCAACCTAGTTATTAAACTTAATGAAATTTCAGTAATCAAATATTTTGAGTTGAGGTATAGTATTGGTGTGTAATGCAAATGAATGGGAAAATTGGTCTCTATTTATAATAAGAGAATGAGGGAAATCTGGAACCTGAAAGAAAAAGGAAATAGGAAAAAAGGTGGTAGTTGCATTTCACTATTGCTGAAAGTGAGAGGCGGAGAAATGTAAGAAAACATACATCCACTTTCCACAGGCTCATGCGCCGCGTAAGCAAATTCTCTTTCCAATTAAGCTCACCGTTCTAACTAGATACTTGTCGTTTGGTTACACCTAAAAAGTTTGTTGCAATTTTCATGAAAATAATTATTTTATAGGAAAGTATACATCTGATATATAGTTATTTGTTACTTAGTATTTTTTTTAGTGAAGCGTTTCAACGTTTGCCCTATTCACCTCAATTTTTTTAGACTAATAATGTTAGTGATTTATACATATATACTAAGTAAGAAAAAAAATATAGTTTAATTTAGTGATACATATAACTGCTAATAAAAACATTTTTTTTAATAATAAGGGTCGATGAATGTTATTAATGTTTGATTAATCATAATCTTTCTCTTGTAATTAATCTTCTTACGTGTAATCTAAGAGGCTAAGAGTTGTATGTATTCATCCTTTTTCATACAAAAGACTCGGGGTATATTTAGATGTCATATAATAAGTTAATAACAGTAATTTTAAAATTATGAAAAATCTAATATATATATATATAAAGTAGACATTTTTCGGAAGCATTGGACGCGTCACAATTAAAAAAATATTATTTCGACCAATCAAAAGTTAGAAATCTATTTTATTTTTGAATTAAATAAAATCAATTTTACACAAAGGAAAAAGATCGAATTTATCTTTTTTGTATTATAATTGATGAATTGGATATAAAAAAAAAAACGTATGTTAGCAAACAAATAGGTAAAAATAAAATATTATCTTATAAATTGATGGTTAATTAAAATATTATTTTGACCAATAAAAATTAGTAATTAAGATAAATATGTTATATTATAAGTTTAATGATAAAGCTCATACTGAATTAAAATATGTCACAATTTTCATTCTATTTAAATTTCTAATACCATACCATTATAACAAATAGGTAAAAATAAAATATTATCTTATAAATTGATGGTTAATTAAAATATTATTTTGACGAATAAAAATTAGTAATTAAGATAAATATGTTATATTATAAGTTTAATGATAAAGCTCTGAATTAAAATATATCACAATTTTCATTCTATTTAAATTTCTAATACCATACCATTATAAATAGATGTATCATATGAAACCAACAAACTTTCACATCAATACAACACCACGTCACGCAAACGTATTAGCAATTTTCTATCTATCAATCTTAAGTTATTAATGGCCGGGTAATTCATGGTTTAACTCATATTTAACATTCATATTTATATTTATTTTTTTGTGAGGAAAATATTCATATTTATATTGTTACTTACATCATGTTTAATTTGTAATGTTCAATGATTAATTGCTTATATTTTATTTGATATTTTTTCCTACAGGGTTAACTTAATTAGAGAATTAAATTCCAGCAAAAATGATTGGAGAATCAAAGTACGAATTTCTCGCTTATTTGACGTACTAAACTTCCAACAACAAGATAGTTTAATCAGTTTAGATATATAATTAACGAAAATGGAAAACATTCTCATGATGAATCTGATTATAATAATGAAGACAAAGATTCTGCCAATAACCCATTGAAGAAAGTGAAGGTATATATCTAATTCTTTCAAAAATTTGTTGCTAGATATTTCACTTTTTATATAAAATCCTATTGAATTTGATTACTAACATATCTAATATATATTGCAGACTTAATTTTACGGAGAAGATTTCTTATACAAAGATCAAACAGACAAACAAGCTTCATGGAGTGAAAAGATATTTAAACTTCAAATTAGTATTTATTAGATAGTCATTGAAAATTTTAGACTTATCCCAATATATTATTCATTAGGATTTTTTTGTATGGTTTAATATTTTAGACTTTACAATTATTAAGCAAATAATTTATTCGTTTCTTCTAATGACCTTTTTGCTCTGATCGTTACATCACCCGCCACATCATACTTATGCAAACAATATAGCAGTACAATAATATTGGTACTTTATTTGTGCTATATCAAGCTAAATTTCCCTAACCTTAATCAAGGAGGTGGTATATCCGTATATGCATGATTAGCCAAGGCAAAGAGCCAATGAGCATTATTAATTTTATATTACCATCAAAGATTACCTTTCAAAGTTGTCAACTACTATTTTTATTTTGCATTATCACATTGTACACATCACCTTTTTTCTAAGAGTATAAGTGTCATTTAAAGCCAAATTTTTAGATTATGTGTGCTTATTTGTTTAAAGTTTTAAAAACAAATTTTGTAGAAAAAAACTTAATCCTACGTTGTTGACTGAAAGATGAACCAACAAGCATGATCTAAAATGTATTATAGAGAAACAAGGAATTATGAATGAATTATAAAGAAATAATTATTATGTGTTTTAACATTATGAAGCCTTAACTATCATTAGCAGCATCTTTAATCATTTTTATTAGCTGCATCTTTCGTCATTTTTTAGCTCTTAAATTTCATGTGTGCTATAGTAACAACTGCCAAGTGCAAATTGTAAGATTATGACTTTTATTTCTTTATTTGTGAAGGGATTACAACTTTCACGATAAGTCAACAATGATGCATATACTTAGCACCAAAGCAGATGATGCAAATTCTTTTATGTCTATCAACTATAAAGAAATAAATCAACTTTTTTTAATAATCTTATTTAATTATATTTCATTTTGAGATTTCATATTGTGATAGCATAGGAACTTATAAGTTTATTATCTGACATCGTTATTTATCTATTGTTTTAATCAATATGAAACAAAAAGTATGAAAATTTTATCCCTCTGAAAAATTGTGTTTTCCATATTATATCTGTCCAAATAACGATTAAAATAATTTTTTTTATATCTTTTTACCATTAAAATAATAAACAAACAAAAACGTACTTTCACATCGATATTTATGATCAGCACTCTTCTTCCTAAAAAAGATAATGATTAGTTGCTGGTGTTATCTATCAAAACTATAATAGATTATATCTATCATCTATGGAGCAAAATAAGATATTTTTGTAAAAATTATTATTATCTTAGTAATTTTAATACATTATAACATATTATAAAGTTTGAAAAAAAAAATGGTGTTTTATTATAATATGTAATTAATAATAAAATAACATTAAACACGCACAAAACACAAACCTTTTAAATAAAACAAATGTACAATAAAATATTATACATTCGTTATAATTAAAGTGACACTAACATGTGCAAAAGTTACCTTAGAATGATTAACTTGACATAATTAAGAGTTAGTTATACTTCATTGATAAAAGTTACACAAAAATTTGTAAAAGTGACACTAAATTTGGCAAAAAGTGACCCCAATGTATAGTAAATAATTGTACACCGGCTGTATACAAAAGTTATTGAAACACGAGTAATATTATAACGTAGAAAGTGGGATAGAAAGTGATTATCCAAGGGAGGGAATGTCTAGGACGGGTCAAAGCTGAGTATGAGCTGATCTGGACCAGGCGATTGAGTTAACCCTAGCATTTACATCTCACTTTAGTCAGACCAAAGTCCACGTAATTGTTTCTTGATTTCATGATCTCATCGCATATTATATGACGTATTATTAACGGTATGCTCTAGCTAGTTTCTAATTTCCATTCTTTCGGTGGTTATATTATTAGTTTATTAACGTCGACCTAAACCTAATCACAAAAGTTTAAATATTTTTAAGTTGATGTTTTGAAATTAAAAACAATTATATTAATACAAATTTGATAAGAATACCTTTTGAGTATAAAATACGGATCGGCATACTCGTATAAATTTAATTAAATATATATTCTAATATAGTAGTATACTATTATCTAAAATGTAATGCCAACTAAGCTATGTGTACCTGCCATGTTTATCTTGAGTCTTTTTCATTATGATAATTAATTTACAAGTAAGCGATTATCTGGCTAGTTTATCTTTGGAAGATAAGGCATTGTAAAGCCCCTATAAGGTTGGAAGAGCATGCAAACTTGGCAAAATTGTAGATATATCAACAAATTAAAAATATGAATTTAATTGTAAACCTATATTTAATTTTTTTTAAAAAATAGTGAGAAACTTATATTTTCTCGGATATTTCATTTCCAACTATACATACATATGTATCCAATACAACGTATATACAGAGTATCTTTTTTTTATTATTATTAAGTTTTAACTCATTCATTTTGTTGTTGGTCGGAGTTTTAATCTTTTTATAATACAAGAAATTCAAAGCATGAATAACTAAAACAAATTGAAAACGTATTAAATATGTCTAAAATTTCTATTTTTTTACTTTTTTCTTTATATATCATGTATTTGTAAATAAATTAAACAATAGGCTAGTCAAAGAACCCGGCTTTCGAAACTACTGTCTCAAGTTAAACATTTTAATCAATATCTTTAGCATAAACATTTGATGTCATTTTCTTTTTTGTTTTTAATCCAATCCAATTAGCTTAGTAAATTTATTGAAAGTAAAGTATCGCTTTCAAGTAGATGATGACTCGTTGTGAAAGTGCTTCTTATCCTCTACAATTTTTTTTTAATAATTAAAATAATATCATGCTTTCCATGTTTATATATTTTTTTATGTTTATAATCAAATAAATACTAAAAATAAATTATGGTTCTCACCATATCTTTTTGTTTACACGTGATTCACGATCTCGAAAATACTACTGTATATCGTATAACGTTTGTTCTTCCTGAATTTCATATAACTATGTAAGGGACTGATCGAAAATACTATGCCGAAGTTTTATGTTAACAAAACAACGTGATTAAATATTAAATGCTAAAAATTACCTATTATATGGCCCTACGTCTTATGCATAATTAAGGATACGTTACAAAAAGTACAAAGTACTCGCGTATAACTGAGAA